GAAATCAGACTCGAGGTACCATGGCAATATCAGCCCTAGCTTCTAGCATTCAGTTCCGAACAATGGAAGCATGTGACATTGACGGGGCCACTGACATCATATCGAAAGCCTTCACTCAGAGAGAGCCGCTGACAACATGCCTTGGAATACCCAGGGAAAAAGATTTCATCAAGGCGAGAGCAGTTTGTCAATTAGCAGCAAGAGATGGGGTCTCTGTGGTTGCCCTGGATACGACGTCAAACAAAATCATCGGTGTAGCATCGTCAATCATCGTTAACAGTAATCCCGAACCCCTTGATATCCCAACTGAAGTTTTAAAAATGTACGAACCTATTTACGCGCTCATAGACAAGATGCAGAAAGTATTTCACGATTCACCTACTTATAAAAATAACCCTGGGTCTAAAGTTATATCAGCTATGAGGTTGGGAGTGCATCCGAAATATACTGGCAGGGGAATCGGTACGAAGCTGCGTCAAGCTACCACAGATTTGGCACAGAGTCGAGGCTTCCATTTTGTCACAGCAGTAGCGACTGCTCCCGAAAGTCAGCGAATCTACCAGAAACTCGGTTTCCAGCAACTTTACGATTTTAAGTACTGCGACTTTGAGATGAAAGGAAATCGACCATTTGCTCAGCTCGGCACTTTATCGGCGGAACTGTATTATAAAAAGTTATTTTAATCTCAGACTAGTAATACAATTACTGTATGTATTACTAGTCTGAGTTTTAATCCAAATCAGTGTGGTAGTGTGGCTGGTCGATATAACACCATCCAGATTTAAACAGCACAGGTTTGTTTCAGGACAGTTTTTAGAATTGCTTCTATACCACTCTTACCATGCATCAATCCAACTTTCGGGGGATAATTGCACCTCTATAAAAATATTTCAAGAACTTGAGGACGTTGTATCCAAATAAGGCAAAGCAGTGTTCAAAATGAGACCCATGGTATATTCAGTTTGTTAACGCAAAATTCAAATATGAGATCTGTGGCGATTATATTAGCGCTTTCAAGCAGAACTTTGAGTTTGTTACTAAATATGCATAGGAATGACCCCTAGTGTACCTCTTTAACAGATAAATGTGATGATATAACCATCGGGAAAGTCATTGAGAAATATTTCACTTCAGCCGTCAAGTACTTATAACAACAGTTTACCATTCGGTAATAATTACTAGTATACTTTTTATAATATCGAACATTGTTGACCAATTCAAAATGTTTTTTTAATTATAATTTACAAAATGATGACATGATACTCGGATTTGTGAATTAAGCTATATTTCAATTATATTAAATTCAGCGTATTATTTCATTCTCGTATTTTATTTCGGAATAATGTGAAATTTTGTATTCCCATGTTCATTTGGTATAAACATTCGATTAAATCTTATTGATTAAACGAGTCAATAGACCGCCAATTCAAAGCACGACATGCATACACTATCATACATGTGACATCTACCCCCCCCCACACACACACAACCCTCCAGACCCAATATATTATAATCGTTTTTTTATGTGATGAAAAAAACAACATAGGATGGGTACCCAATGGTCACACCATAATCCACTTCCTTTCCATCAATTATCATTCCTTTTCTGGAAGAATTAGAAGAGGTTTATTACGAATATCCCGATTTCACAAACAACCGGAATTGCATGGTATACAGTCCCTCTACACCGGTGTGAAGGGACTGCGATAAAGACTATGGAGCAAATTGGCACGCATGCGTTTATTGTGGTAGTATGTCTGTAGCCATTGTTTACTAATTCGAATCAGTCCCCTCCAAGCCAGCAGCCAAGAAACAACTTCTGAAATATCTGGCTTGTACAAACTATATGTTCACATCAATATCTATATTATGTGGGGATCATATTTCTGAGCGCCGAGTAGTAAAACAAAATACACAGGAATGATTGTTTCACCACAATAAAAAAACGGTTAAATGTTTAATCTGCAAGGAAATGCTGTGGTCTATGTTGTCAATCATTTTCGGTACATTTTTTGTTCGAAAAAAAAAATATCGTCTCCCATCCAACTCCTAAATGCACAAATAACAAAATGAATATACACAGTATATGAAGTATAATACTTCCTTTACCTTTCGGTCAATATGATATTTATAGTTTTGTTGCGCCTTTGAGTTGTTTTTGTTTCTAATGTTTTACATTTTGTCTATTCGACCTGGGTAGTTTATGTTTGAACAATCTAAGGCGACAAATCACTGAATAATCAGATTTTTTTTCCATT